TCTTCCCCTCACAGGGAGGGGGTGGGGCAAGTCTTTGATGCTACTTACTCTGGTGGTTTCTTTTCAAACTAGTTACAAAGATCTCTCTGGAGACCAGCCCAGAGTGGGAACAAGTGGGCACTTAGCAAATATAGAAGAGCGGGCAGGGGGACAGGAAGCATCATGCTGGCTTTTGAATAATTTTTATGGATTTTTTAATAAGCCACACATGGCACCCCTGGGCTGGTCCTGAGAGAAACCCCAGCACAAACCTGCCTCCATTTCCTCCCCAATCACAGTGGCCTGGATGGGCCAGTGCCCAGGACAGCACAGCAGTCTCCTCCACTGGTTCTGCTCTCTGGAAGGCTCTGTTCCCACCACCAAGACACCATCTCTGTAAACACTTCCATAAGGATGGGTCCAGAGAGAGACCCTTTCCCTGCCACCATCTCACACCATCCCTGACTGCACTCCCTCCCAGACTCAAAGCCTCTGCCCTCTTGTTCTCTCACTGCTGCAGGAGGTAGAGGAGACAGACCCACCCCTTTCCCCCACAGGTGCGCTTTCCCTCACCTGCTCAGATTCTAAGTCCACTATACAGCTCTTCTCATCCCATCCAAAGAAAGCTTAGAGTTGGGTGTCGTGGCTCACATCTATAATCCCAGCAGTTTGGGAGGCCAAGGTGGGCAAATCACCTGAGGGTAGGAGTTTGAGACTAGTCTGACCAACATGGAGAAAACTCTGTCTCTACAAAAAAAAAAAAAATACAAAAATTAGCCAGGCATGGTCGTGGGAGCCTGTAATCCCAGCTACTGGGAGGTGGAGGTTGCAGTGAGCCAAGATCGGGCCACTGTACTCCAGCCTGGGCGACAGAGGTAGACTCTGTCTCAAAAAAAAAGAAAAAAGAAAAGGAAGCTTAGGATGGGGCAGGAGAGACATGAGAATCTGGGCTTTCACGAGACCAACCTGGCCCCTAGGTCACAGACTCTCAATGTGGGGCAGGGTTGGCCATCCTACCTTAAAAGGCTACCTGCTTTCCACAATGCCCAAAAGCCCCCAAAGTGCTCCATGCCTTGGGGACAATATTGGTTTCCCTTGGTGATCATGCAACTCCCATGCTCCCCACTTTAGAGAGAAGGAGCTGAACAGTCCCTCCAGAACACACACAGAGGGTTTGACAGACTCTACTTGGTCACTTCCCATGACAGGGAGCTCATTACCACCCAGGAAGCCCTCTTCATCCTCTCTAGTGGCTCCCTTGTAAACGTCCTTCTGTTTCTCTTCAGTTTCCTCCCCCTGGCCCTGCCTTTTCCTCCCAGATGCCAGCTCCGGAGAAGTCAGGGCCCATGCCCATGCCAGCCCTGCTGACATTTGTGAACTACTTACGGCATCTCCAGCCTGAAGCCAGTCTCCTTCCTCTTCCTCTTTGTAGCACTTGGTTTCTGATTCTCATCCTGCTGGTTGTCTCCTCTTGAAAACACTCCTCTTAAAGTGTCCTCCAAAACTGTGGGGGGACAATCAACATTAGAGGTAGAGTAGGACCCTCACTCCCTCTCTCTGAATACATTCCCCGCTTTGGTGCAGCTGAAGCCTAGCTCCAGTTCTGTTTTAGTACTTATCAAAGCAGTGAGGGTCGGTTTAAAGCCAGAGTCTGACTCTGGTACATCAGCTGGCAGCATGTCTACATTTTGCCTCCCTGCTGTTCTATTCTGAACTTAGACAGGGTTTCCCTCCCCTGTGGTATTTCACCTTTTTCGTCGCAGCCCATCTAAGCTTGAGACCACTCTGAACCCTGCTTTTATCATGCAGCATACGCACAGTCCCACCTGTACCCACAACCCCAAGCTCCAGGTCACCTGTGGAGGTGACCAGGACACTTTAAGTGCTGCAGTGTCCACTTTGTAAGCCCATAGACCTGGGCTTGAATCTGGATCTTCCATTTGATCTTAGACATCCTGAGTTTCACCATTCTCATCCCTAAAAGGGGATTGTGCCAGGCACGGTGGTTCACGCCCATAATCCTAGCACTTTGGGAGGCTGAGATGGGTGGATCACCTGAGGTCAGGAGTTCAAGACCAGACTGACCAACATGAGAAACCCTGTCTCTACTAAAAATACAAAATCAGCCAGGCGTGGTGGCAAATGCCTGTAATCCCAAGCTACTCGGAGGCTGAGGCAGGAGAATCAGTTGAACCCAGGAGATGGAGGATGTAGTGAGCTGAGATTGCACCATTGCACTCCAGCCTGGGCAACAAGAGTGAAACTCCATCTAAAAAAAAAGAGAGGGGGTGAATTGTAATCCCTACACCCAGGAACATAGTGAAGATTGAAGAGGAAGCATGTGCCGGTGCCTAGCACAGTGTCCTGCAGATCCTTGGTAAAGGGATCTCTTAGTGTTATTCACCCAAGTTGCTGACAAACATGCTGAACTCATCAGGGATGAGGACAGGGCTCCTGGGGGAGGGGAGATGGTAGAGCCTGCAAACCCATCACTCGGCACCCACCCCTCGTGACAGCTGCTCCACCAGCTTTGCATCCATAAGGACATCAGGAGGCCTTGTCAAGTGCTGAAGATAAACATCACCAGCACCACATTTGGTTTCGCCACAATTTTCCAAGAATAAAGAAATGGGGGAAGAGACAGACAATTATTTCTCCAGATGCCAGATTTGCTGACGTTCTCAATGTACCCTTCCTTGAGCTGGGGTCTGTGGGGCCCAGGAGCTCCCAGGCCAGAGTGGGAAGGGCTGGACCAAGAGACATACTGCTTCCAGTTGCTAGTAATTCAGAAGACCTGCTTTAGCTCATCTCAAATGCCTCACCAGCCTGGGCGTAGTGGCTCACGTTCGTAATCCACCCAACACTTTGGGAGGCCAAGACGGCAGATCACTTAAGCTCAGGAGTTCGAGACCAGCCTGGGCAACACGGCAAAACCCCATCTCCACTAAAAATACAAAAATTATCAAGGCATGGTGGCACACACCTGCAGTCACAGCTACTTGGGGGGCTGAGGCAGGAGGATTGCTTAAACCTGGGAGGCTGAGGCTGCAGTGAGCTGAGATGGTGCCACTACACTCCAGCCTGGGCAACAGAGTAAGACTCTGACTGAATTTATTTATTTTTAAAAATGCCTCTCCAAACACAACTCTGTGTTGCCTCTAGAATGTGAGCCTGCAACTCCTAGCTGCAGACGTAGTGTACTAAGTCAGGATGCAGAAATGACTGAGGATACTAGACACTGGCCACTCCCTTTCCTTGCTCCGCTCTCCCTGTGAGCCCAGTGCATAATAGGTAGATTAAGGTGGAGGGAAGAAGTAGAGAGAGACATGGCAGAAGCTTCTAGACAAAACTTCTCAGAAAATGGGAGTTGGTCTTGGGATTCCCCGCTTTGTAAAGCCCAAACACCTTAGCATAAACCTCTCTGCAGTCCCTTCAGCCAAACCAGATGTACCTCTGGCCCAGCCAAGGTCATTCATTCATTAACCATTTATTAGATTTCTAACCTGTGCCAAGCAGTAGAGCACCCCAACAGATCACCACCACCCATCTTACTAAGGGGCCTGGTTGAGATTGGTGCATTCAGCATACAGAGGTCAGGGGAAGCATCACAGAAAGGCCTGGTTTGAGCTCTGTTCCAAATAGTGGGTTAGAAATTGGCAAAGCAAGGATGCTTCAGGCAAAGGGACCCCCATATGCAAAGGTATACGGGAACTGTAATGGGTGGTAAGACTAGAAAGCAAGATGGAGTCTAGACTGTGGAGGACCTGGGTGCTGGGATGCAGGGTGAGAGCTTTGTCATAGAGTGGTAGGAAACTAAGAAGGGTCTTGGAGCAGCAGTAAGGTGTAATCTCATCTGTGTTGGAAAGGTCTCTCTGCATGAGAGTAGGGGAAACTCAAGGGAAAAAACTAAACGCAGTAAGAGCAGGTTTCAGGCAAACAAGAGTGAGCCCGCAGTCAAACCACTGAGCCACAGGCAAGACTTTCATACTAAAATCCCCAACAGATTTTTAAAAATTCTTATCAGTGGTTCGCCTTCCTTAACCTCACAACTTGCTTTGGGATTAACCCTCTGACACCATTTTCTGGCAAATAAATCATGGCCCCACCAAGGATTAACACTGGGACCCTTCTTGGCTGGGAGACAGACTGGGAGCTTCAAACCCCACTGCGGCTACAAGAGCACGCAGGATGCCATAAATGAGGCTGGCTGTATGCAGGGGAGGCTGTAAGCCCTCTTGGAGGGGCCTGTTGTCTGAGCTTCGCCTACAGCTGAAAAGATAAGAATCTACAACTGCAGCCACAGGAAATGACAAAGCGGTGACTGATCGGGGAGCTGCTGCACAGGGCTCATTACAGCGCTTGCCAGTGGGCGAGACACCCTTATCAGGGAGAAAATTGCATCAGGCCTCCTGAATTACTAGCGATTGGAAGCAGATTTCTTGGGACTCACTTTGTTAGATACCTAATGAGCGGGATACAGGCGGGCAGAGCCCAAAGCCGGCGGGGCGAGGGACAAATGTCTTTGTTAAACAGAATTTGTCAGTTTCCGCACCAGGCTCCCTGGGGAGGGTTCAGGGCCAACTAATTGAATTAAGAGCATGTGCGCTCCAACAAGAAGGCTCAGGGCGGGGCCAGAGGCAGGCAGGCCAGAAGGCGGGCGCTTTCAGCACCAAGGACAGCAGCTGCAGCCTGGCTAGTCCGTAATTGCCGGGCAGGCTGGAACTGTTGCATTTTGCATGATTGGGGATCTAGGGGATGGAGTGGGTAGGAGGAAGGCAGAGGATGTTGTGGGGAGACGGGAGACAGGTGACCTAAGAAGCCTCAAACCCGTGATGCCATTGGTCTGGTCTGTCTCAACAGACCCCACTCTGCTAGCAACAGTGAGTGCTGGGAGGAGTGAGGAAGGGGTGTCTTCTCCCCCACCATGGCACTCACATGTGGTGTGGGCCGCTGCAACAACACAGAGAACAGTGGGCTGAATCCTGGGTCTAAGCTAATGCGTGGCCATGCATCTCTTTCAGCTTTCAAAGTCAATCTCCAATTACAGCCTTAATGAAGCAGGATGTGCTGCAGCCACGAAGCCACAGGATCTGGGGCCACTTGTCAGCCCCAAGCTCCTCCAGCAGGTGGGGCAAGGCTCATCAAATACAGAGGCAAATAAGCAGGATCGTGGGGTGGGCCAGCAGCCCCCATTCTACCTGGAGGAAAAGGAGAGTGAGACAAGGCCGGGCTTGAATAGGGAGGAGTTAGTCTCCAAGGCTCTCCCCATCCTCCACCCTGCCTCACCACCTCCAATGGGTTAGCTTTTTCTACGGTCTCAGGCAGACTGGCCCTCTCTGTGGTCTCAGAAAAGCTCCTATCCTTAAGAAGCAAAGGGCCAAGGGCATAATTTCCTCTCCCAAATGTGAGCTGTTGGAAGCTTTGGAGTCTGGAGAGGCAAAGCTGACCCTAAAGAAGGAGAAGTATTGGGGAGAAGTTAGACACAATGGGCCTCTTGGTGCCCCTCACCTCACATGACAAAAGCAACTGCCTTGGATATGCTCTGCAAGACCTGTGCCATTTAGAGGTCTAAAGATTTTACCATAAAAGTCACCTCTCCATTTTGCCTCCAAAACCCAGGCCAGAATGGATCCTGGCAAAGTTGAATGGGACAGAAGAATGGGAAGGTGGGAAGAAACCTGCAGGGAGAGGAGGTACAGGCATGGAGCAGCCATGGGAGCAGATCCTGGCCGGGGCCAGCCCGAGGATAGGACAGAACAAAACCACTGAGTCTGGCAGGCACTACAGGAAAGGTGGCTGTAGCAGAGATGGGCAGGGTGCATTTAAAGTCCGTAAGTACTCTGCCTTGCCTGCCTGCCTTCTCAGAGCCCACCCCCACTCTCACCTCACCCCATAAGAGACTGATGGGGTAAAGGCACTAGTCTGGACTGAGGGGTTGGTCTCACCTTTATTTTAGCTTTATGATGAAATCAAATGAACTACACATAGTAAATTTCAGAATCCACATAAAAGTACCTGGTGAGTGCCCAGCTCTGACCAAGGGCTCAATAAATGTGAGCTCTGGATTATTGCATTGACCCATCTGGTGTTAGGGCCACACCAAGTAGATGTCAGGGAGACAGGCTGTGGGGGAGGGAACTCCCTTGCAATTGTCCCTGCTTTCAGTACTGATGGGGGCACCTCTGGAGACCTCTCCCTTGATTTCATTACTTCTACTTCCTCCCCTAACTGGATTAGATGGCAGTCTATGAAATCCAGGGCATGGAGATTGGCTTTCTGCCTGGAAATGAGGAGAAATGTCATTATAGGTTCCTGAATTAGCATCTCACCCCAGCCCCAGGGGCCACCTGGTCAATGGGAAGGTGGTCATTGCCCTGTAGTTATGCTTTCCTTCATTCTCTCCTGCATCAGCCCATCCATCCATTCATCCACCCACCCATTCATCCATCCATCCAATAGGTATTTTGTAGCTCTCCCTCTGATGCCAATCTAGTGTTCAGCTGTTCTGAGAAGTAGACAGATGTGGTACTTTTTCCCATCTAAAACACATGGCCAGAAAACCTTAAACCATCTGACTCAGATGCTACCCTGTGTGCCTTCATATCAGTGTGGAGCCTCCAAGTGAATCCTGTCTTCCGTGAGTGATAGCTACCAGGAGGACCAGGTGGGAGAGACTGTCAGGCCTGATGCCCTCAGACAAAACAGGCACAGGAGTCTTGGTCATGAAGTGCAGTAGGCAGACTACCAAAGTCCCACTCTTCCCATTCCAAGAGTCTTATTATAGCTGCTTTCTCTTTGGAATTGTCTATTTTGCACCCGTTTTATGGGGAGTTGGGGATATACAGCCCAGACTTAACCAAATGCCCCTGTGTACTTGTATGACTGTCCCTTACTCTATCAACACAGCCTGAAAAGGCTTTGCATTAATGACTATCTGCACATCAAAGTTTATTTGAAAGGGACATAAAGGCATACTTACTTAAATAATTTCAGTGGTAAAGTGAAGGGTCCTTGTCCCGATTCATTGAGTTAGTATGCATGGAGTTTCCTATAGAGGAACCACTTAAAGAGAAGCCCACCTGCACTCATTCTCTCTCTGGTTGTTCAGGGTCAAACACCTGGGCACCTCTAACTCTGAGCGCATCTGCACTGGTTGGCAGTGTGCCCACTGCTCTACTTATTTCTAGCACAAGACTCCAGACAGTGGAATAATTTGTCTGCTATACAGACAAGAGAGGATTCCAACAGCTGGTGCAAGGTGGAGCTGGCTCACCTTTGAGGTCCCTGCAAACCCTAGGACTGCGTGGTTCTTTGAACAATGAGTATGTTTTAAAGATAACCATGGATTTCTAACAGAGCTTTAAAGTAACCCCTCCCCAAAGGGAGCACAGACATGTCCCTAAGCCCAAGGAACTTAAAGTTTTATTAGAAAAACAAAAATAGCAGGCAAGTCTGGAATTAGAGAGCAACATGAAAACACAGCCAACTGCTAGATCAGAAGAACCCAGAACACATACAAGCCAGTGTGAGCTGAGACATCAAGGCGTCCTTGGGCAGGGGGGCTGGTATTTGAGTGGCATCAGATTTTAGACACATGAGAGCGATGATCATGCCAAGAGAGAAGGAGGAGAACAGGAAAAGGAACACGGAAGGAGCCAAAGGCTCATCAGAATATACAGAGAGGAGAGACTCTGTGCTTAATGGTGGTACTATTGAAGGATGATAGAGGAAATGAAATGGAAGATGGGTCTACATGGTAAAGGGTATCAAAAAAAGTCTAGGATTTTAGAAGCTGTTGTTACTGTACCAGGTGTGGAGGCCAGAGATGGCATAGTTCATTTATTCTTCCACCAAACATGCATTGAGCACCTACAATGAGCCAGACACTAGGGACAGACAAGGTGTCTTGCTTAATGGGACTCCCATCCTAGCATGGGCATTGCAGGAAGGAGGTAGTAAAGAAGTAAGTGCATTTTCAAATTTTTTGGTAGAGTAAGTGCTATGAACACAGTAAAATGGGATAAGTGAAGAGACAATATATTGGAAGTGGGATTACTTTAGGTAGAGTGGGCCTCTATCGTAAAAGGCAGGGACCCTCTGAGAAGATCACTTCTGGGCTGAGACCTGAATAAGAAGGAGACAGCCAAGTAAAGATCCCAAGGACCTCCAGGAAGAAAACAGTAAATGCAAAGGCCCTAAGGCAGGAGAGAGCTTGGCTTGGGGAGGAACAGCAAGAGACTTGTCGTTGGGGCCCGGTGAGCAAAGGGCCAGACAGTAGGAGGTGTACATGGGCCAGGTATACAGGGCCTCCTGAGCCATGAAGAGAAGAGGCTTGGGGTATAGAAGGTGTGCTTATGGTAGATGGCCACAGAGAAGGGGCCTGTCCTGAAGTTTCTCTGCACCTTCTCTTCTCAGAGACCAGAAAACTTCTTGACACCAAACAACAGCAAGGTTCTTCCTACCTTGGACCTCAAGGTCCTAGATGAGAAGCTGGGAACCATCCAAGAGTCCTGGTCCAAGGCCACAGTGAGCTCCACAATGGACTTGAGCACGTCCACTCCACAGGAAGTAGAGGAGGAGCCTCCGGTGCCTGAGATGTCCCGCGACAGAGTGAGTGTCTCTCCCCAGGTGGGAAGGGCCGGGCAGGGACCAGCCCATGGGAAGCGGACTTGGCTGCCATCTGCAGGATGGGTTCATGCCTCAGGTGGCCAGTAGACCTCCCGTTAGGCACACTCTGCATGTGAGTTACCCCAAGGTCAAACTGCTGAGAGCTGTGGCTTCATTTGCAGAGTCCCTTTTGAGTGGAAGACTCTCGTGCTATTTCATTCAAAGCAAACCCATGCGACACTTGTAAGCCAGGGTTCCATTTACGTGTGTAGACATCAACTCAGAACTTCCTGAGGTACATGGCCACTGGGTAGTGGGAAGCACCCTTAAGAGATTCGTTTTAACTTATAACAGGAGAAATTGGAGCTCAAAAAAAGGACACCAATTTTGGTGACAGAGTCTGTGTCATCCTTCATGAGAGCTGCTGTGTCTTCCTGTTGCCTGTTGAGCAGATGCTCAGAAAGGGCTGGTGGAGGTTGCCAAAGTGACGTCCTAATTTGCTGAGGGGTCAGTGCTGGGTCTCAGCCCTTGATGCAGAGCACTAAAGAATGGGCCACCAAAGAGACAGTCATGAATAACCCACTTCCTCCTGCCCTCCCCAAATCCTGGCCACGTGGTTCCCCCTTCTTGTGCCTCTAAGCAGAGGTAGTAAAGGAAAGAGAGGCCGGGCACATGCCCACATCTGTAATCTCACCACTTGGGCAGGCCAAGGTGGGAGGATCGCTTGAGCCCAGAAGTTCAAGACCAGCCCTGGCAACATAGAGTTCCTGTCTCTGTAAAAAAATTCAAAAAATTAGCCAGACATGGTGGTGCATGTCTATAGTCTCAGCTACTCAGGAGCCTGAGGCAGGAGGATCACTTGAACTTGGGAGGTCGAGGTTGCAGCGAGCTATGATCGCGCCACTGTACCCCAGTTTGAGTGACAGAACAAGACCCTGTCTCAGGAGAAAAACAAAAAAAAAGAAAGAAACAGGCCAGGAAAGAAAGAAAAGGGAAGGTGCCACCACGGGGAGAGGAACGTGGGAGGGGAGGACAAAGATGAAGGCGTCCCTCCCTGATCTCAGGTCTGTGGAGGGCTCAGAGCAACCTCTCCTGCTTGGCTGCCCAGGAGGGGCCAACCAGCCAAGCCTCCACTCTCCCCAAGTTAAGCCCACACCTTCTCCCAAGGATGCAGACCTTAGCCCCTGAATCACACTACCTCTGGGAGCAAGAGCCTCAAGCACCTCCTGGCTGGGCAAGCCTCTCACATCAGCCAGCTGGGCACTGACACAGCACAACCAAGCAGGGGGACGTACCCAGCCCCACTCCTGGTACTGGGCATGGCAGGGACTCCTTCATTCAGAGTCTTCTGGGTAAAGCATCCAAGGTCTGAACTGAGGTCAACAGGTTTGAGAGTCTGGACTATTTGAGAGAAACCAGATACAGATGTCTTAATACCATGGATTTGTTTGTGGGAAGTGAGACACAAATGGCGGGAGTGAGTTGGGTTGGAGTCTGCACTGTGCTTACAAAATGCAATGATGATGGTGATGATGGTGATGGTGGTGATGACGATGGTGATGATGGTGATGGTGGTGATGACAATGGTGATGATGATGATGATGATGATGGTGGTGATGATGATGGTGATGATGGTGATGATGATGATGATGATGATGGTGGTGATGATGATGGTGGTGATGATGATGGTGGTGATGATGGTGATGATGATGATGGTGATGATGGTGATGGTGGTGATGGTGATGATGATGATGGTGATGATGATGATGGTGATGGTGGTGATAGTGATGATGATAATGGTGGTGATGGTGATGATGATGATGGTGGTGATGATGATGGTGGTGATAGTGATGATGATGATGATGATGGTGGTGATGATGATGGTGGTGATGATGATGATGGTGGTGATGGTGATGATGATGATGGTGATGATGGTGATGATGATGATGATGATGATGGTGGTGATGATGATGGTGGTGATGATGATGGTGGTGATGATGGTGATGATGATGATGGTGATGATGATGATGGTGATGATGGTGATGGTGGTGATAGTGATGATGATAATGGTGGTGATGGTGATGATGATGGTGGTGATGATGATGGTGGTGATAGTGATGATGATGATGATGATGATGGTGGTGATAGTGATGATCATGATGGTGATGATGGTGATGATGATGATGGTGATGATGGAGAAGGAGGAACAGAGAGGAAAAAACAGAGTTTAGGAAGAAATGGCCTTTAAATATAGAATGGATCTGAGAGGGGGGCAATATAAACAGTGTTTTCAACATCTGAAAGAATATTAGAATAACGTGGGTAGTGGCTAGTCTTGATTTTCTCTTAAAGATTAAACCAGAAGAGATGGGGCCAGACTGCAGCTTGAGAAGTCAAGGTTAACAATAAGGAGGAAGTGCTTTTTGTTGTTGTTGTTGTTGTTATTGTTTTGTTTGTTTAAGATGGAGTTGGCTCTTGTTGCCCAGGCTGGAGTGCAATGGCACAATCTCAGCTCACCACAACCTCCGCCTCTCAGGTACAAGAGATTCTCCTGCCTCAGCCCCCAAGTAGCTGGGATTACAGGTGCCCACCACCAAGGCCAGTTAATTTTGTATTTTTAGTAGAGACGGGGTTTCTCCATGTTGGTCAGGCTGGTCTCAAACTCCTGACCTCAGGTGATCTGCCCACCTTGGCCTCTCAAAGTTCTGGGATTACATGCGTGAGCCACCGTGCCCTGCCAGGAGGAAGTGTTTTTGAGCAACAGTAACCACTGTGAGTGGCAGAGAAGGGGAGGAGAAAGAAGGGGCCTGGGAGCACTAGGGTGGGATTCTGGGAGGCTCTGAGTGATAACAAGGGGTCAAGGCTGCCCCTTACACACATATGGCAGAGGTGTTGTGAGCTGGGTCTGATGGAGAACTCACCCAAGCATGCCCACCCTGGGTATCACCCCCAGCACACTCCCTTCAGTGGCTCATTCACCCGAAAAGAGTGCTCCTGGTCCCTCTACCCTCCCTCTTGCTGGACACCTGGTGAGGCCATAAGAACTGGCTGCTAGCCCTGGTTTGCTAGCCCAGTTAGGGCCACTCAGCCACCACCATCCAGCCCTTGAACGAAAGAGCCCACTGACTTCCATGCCTCTGGGCTCCAGGGCCCTGCCCAGGCCTGGCCCAAGACAGATGTTGGTAAATGCTTCTTGGGCAATGGAATAGCATCCCTGACTGGGCAGCAAGAGAACCAGAAAGAACATTAGACAGTATCTAGACTGATCCTCTCATTTTACAAAGGGTGGCAATGAGGTAGCCCAGGGATGGGCAGGAATGGGCCTGCCCAAGGCTTCCTGACATGGCAATCTCATGCCGCCTTGCATCCAGCCAAGGAAATACTAGACTCTACAGAGGCCTGCATGCTCAGCCAACCTGGCACGATCCGGTCCCCCAGAGACTCACAGAGGGGCACTGGCCATGCCCCTCTCCCTTACCCATCCCACTCTGTTCCAGGCCCCCCGTCCCTCCTTGTTTCTGACTCTTAACTACGTCCTTGTTTATCCTCTCACCCCTGGTTCGGTTCCCCAACTCATCATTTCTCTGTCTCACCCCCTCTCTCACTCTCCTCGCTCTCTCTCACACCAGGCTGGCTATTTCTACCTCTGACACTTTGCCCTAGTTGGAGCCTAGAGACCCAGCCCCCAGCCCCAGCTCCTCCCCACTGACCAGAGCCCAGAGGGATCACGGTAGGACCCTGACACACACATGCACGTGGCTGGTAGATCCCAGTCACAGGCAGTAGAATGTGGGTGGGTAGCAACAGCATACAGCTCCGTGACAAGCCCAGGTAGTGCAGCTGTGTGGCAGTGGGTCACTGTTCCATAGCAACCGAACAAAATTACATAGCAATGGATGAACTCAGCGACCAAGAGGCATAGTGACAAGCAATCGAACGTGGCTGTGGAGTGGTGGAGTGGAGTTGCATAGCAATAGACCCAAGCCATAGCATGTCACTCAGCCCTGCACTGCAGGAGGGCGCAATCACAGGACTGAGTCCTGAGCACAGTGTGGAAGCCGTGGGCGGAGGTGCAGAGCAGTAGAGGATCCTTCAGTAGCACTGGGACACAACTGAGAAGCAGTGGCACGGTCACAGTGTGTGTGGCTCCTGGACATGTGGCCAGGGAGTGGTGGCCAGCAGCAGGGCCCAGGGTTGGAACAGCAGGCGCCTGCGACATGGCAGTGGCTGTATAGAAGAACCGCCTCCCTCACGCTGGGCCGTTGCCTCTGGCTGAGCCTCTTAACATCCCCTAATGTCTGAAGGGCATTTGTCTATATCCAGTCTCATCGTGCGTTCCCCAGGGGCCAAAACACAATTTGATTTCTGATTCCCTTCAGATCTTACTTCAGCTTAATAGGAAATTGAACATTTTCTGCAGCGAAAAGCACCTTGGGAATGGATGGGAGTGGAGAAGAGGTCTGTGCCTCTCCCTGCATTGCTGCCTCCTGTCCCCAGGCCTGCCCGTCCCACCCCCACAGCCCGCTGAGTCCATGGCGGCTCCCTGCCCCTGGATGTGCCACTGAGCCAGCTCTTTCCCCTGCTGCAGCCCAGCCCCTTCTCACCTTGGAACACTTGGTTTTTACACAGGCCTTTCCGGTTCCGTTTTGTCAACATGGTGCAAAGCTCTGGTCTTGGGTGGGCCTGCTGAGGTCAAGGTCCCATGGATATGGTCTTGGGTCAAGTGTAGGGCCTGAGACAGAGGTAGAGAAGCCTTATCCACTCCTGAGCGGCTCAGGAAGCCATTGGGAAGAGGTGAGCCTTGAAGTGAGCATGAAGAGAGGTGCTCAGGTTCATCCTAAACATGGCGACTCTCCAGTCAACAACCCGCAAGCATCCGCCTTCCACTCTCTAGGCACCCTGAGCCCACCTCATGTGGAGCCAAGCCATGTCTCTCAACACTAGGAGCGGGGGCAGGTAAGCCGAGGGGCCTCCATGTCACCTCTAGATGGACCGACTTCCACCGCAAAGGGCTTTTGAAACGCCTGCCCTACACCTGGGCTTCCCATTCCTCCAGCCAGTCAGAAAACCAGAACTCTCCACCCTGCCATGTGTCCAGCCCTGTGTCTAGCTGGGCAGGGACATGGGGACAAAGAGGCCAAGGACCTCAGCTCTGGGAATTCCCCAGCAGACAGGAGCAAGCTATACCCAGGGAGATGATTAGTGGCACGGGGTAGGTACACAGTAAATATCTGGTGGGGATGAACAGGTAAAGGAGAGGCCTGGTTGGGACAATGTAGCTTTTTAACTGCCACACTTACCCAAGACTGCTGGACACACCTAGTGAGTCCTCAGTGAATGAGAGAGAGTTGGGGAGGTGCTGGAGAGGGGAAGAGGCAGACAAGGAAGGCTTCCTGGAGGAAGCAGGCTATGCTTTGGATAGAGAGGCAGATGTGGTCATTTGCTATGCAGGAAGTGTATATTTAGTGCTGTTTCCAGTGCAGAAATTCAAGCACAGGGTTGCTTCTCTCCTCTCCCCTGTCTCTCTCCCTGCCTCTCCTGCCCTTTCTCTCTCCCTCTCTCTCTCTCTCCCTCCCTGCTCCTCCTCCTCCCTCCCTCTCCTTTTCTCTCTCTTTCCGTCCCCTCTGTTTACCTCCCTCCTTCTGCCTTGCTCAGAGGAGATTTGTGGCAGACCAGAGGGCCCTCATACCAGGAGATGAATAATTGACAAGGGTTGTTAAAAGATTCAGTGGAGTTTTTCCAACCTCCTCACACTGGAATAACTCATTTTTTTCATTCTGTCTTTGAAAGCCTTTCCCCTCCCACCACTGGTCTCTGCACATCCCCGCCCCCTCTGAGCATGTCGCTTTTGTTTTCTTCCTTTCTTGAGTCTGCTGGACCCTAGAACAATTCAGCCTTAATCCCTCAGTTTCTCTACATCCCTTCCCCACTTACCCACCTCTGAGGGTGTAGGTTGACTTCAGTGGAGACAGCCTCATATTATGAGTGCAGAGAGGAAGGAAGACCACGGAAGCTGTGGCCTCTCCCAGGTCCTGCAGTGGCAGAGGTGGGGGCTCGGTCCTCAGGAAGGCAGGCCTCCCAGCACAGGGACCCCTTGCCTCGAGGGCAGGCGGAGAGGTGCTCTGGGGATGCTGGGTGTCCATGTGCCTTGGTGTCTCCATCTGTAGCACGAGAGAGCTGCTTACCCTACCTGCCCCTCAGGATCAGATGGGAGAGGTGAGACCACACAGAAAGGGAGGCCGGCCGTGTAGCAAAGACTCTCCTGAGCCTAGCCCTTTCTGTCCGGCTGGCATGGCCCTGGGGTGACCAGACATCCCTGCTGCCCAGAACTGAGTGGTTTCCAGACTATGGGGTGTTCAGTGCTTAAACCAAGACAGTCTCAGGAAAACCTGGATGGGCGCCACCTTACGTGGCACAGAAAGCTCCCCTGCCCCAGGCCTGCCCCACTGGAGGTTGCCACACAGCCTCCCTCATCCACAGGGTGCACCCCACCTGCGCAGCCTGGCCCAGCTCCATGCTGTCCCTGCACTCACACTGCTACCACTGCTCCTGGAAGTGACCTTGAACTTCCTTCCCTTCTCTGGGCCCCAGTTCCTGCCTTTGACAGCTCAGGAGGTGGGAGCAGATGTTCCCGAGTACCCTGTGGCTCCTGCACTGTGGCAGAAGCCTTGGTCCTGCCCCCAGGCCCACGCCCAGGATGGGGGCTGCAGCCTGGTGAGGCTGGTAGTGGTCAGACCCAGCCTCCACTCAGCAGTCACCAGGGAAGGGACTTGGAGCACCCCTGCACACTGCCCACGTCAGGGGCAACAAGCAGCAGAAACATCAGCCCGGGGTGGTGGCATCACAAAGCCCCAGGAGCCTGGAATTGGCCCCCAGGAGCAGGTATAAGCAGGCCTCCCAGGGCCGCTAGTTCAGGCACCAAGCCCAGCCTAGGAGCAAGGTCACCCAGGGCCTGGGAGTCCAGCTCCTTTGGAACCAAGAGAGGCAGAGGAACTACAAGAGACAGAGACAAAGAGACCAGAGCCAGCCAGGGCCCACTCAACGGCCACCAAACAGATGCCCCTGACTCAGCGCCCTTCAGGCCATCCCACGCCAGCCACAAGACACATTCCCAAAACGCTGGCCAGCCCTCAGTCTCTGTAGCCCCTGACTCTGCTGCCCAGTGTGACTGTCCCACCTGCCGGGTTTGTCCTCTCAGTCACCTCTCCAAGCGCCCCTGTTCTATGCAGCACACACCCACGAGCTCCCCACAGGCCGGAAGCCTTCTCAGGGCCCCACCCTCCTCAGCTCCTCCCCTGCACTCCTGCAGGCCCTGAGCTGCAAGCACCATGTGCCTGTGGACGGGGGCTGGAGGGGGTCTGACAAAGAAATACTAAAGACAGGGCGTCAGACCTGAGCCAGGGCTGAGAACACTCCACCTCTTCTCCCATTCCTGTCCCTCCCGCAACTCTGACCTTTGATTCTTCCAGTTCCTAAACACAATCACACACAGTGCTTACCAAGCATTTTAGTAAGAGACGGAGGGGGAAGGGTGGAGGGGGAAGGGTGGAGAGGAAGAAATAAGGATCACATCCCACGTGTGTCCGTTAGCTCCCTCTGCAGACCCCTCCTCTCATCTGCGTAGCTCTTGCAGGCTTGAGTTCCATCTCCACCACTCCAGAGCTGTGTGGCCTTGGATGAATCACTCCGCCTCTCTGATCCTGTCTCCTCCTTGTTAAGTGGAGGGAATATTGTCATCCTGTCCACCTCTTGAGACTATGGGGAGGATTAACAAGAGAATGAGGGGCAGTGTGTTGGAAACTGCAAAGGGCTTTGCAGGAGACTTAATAGTCACTGTGTTCATGGGGCCCTGCCATCAAGACTGTGAACAAAAAGAGAGGAAGCAAAAATCCCCCAGGCCTCTCCCCCAGACCCTTTCTCCGGCAGGACTGTTCCCAGACCCCTGACCCACTTCTCCCTCCTTCCCCTATCCCTCCCAGTCTCAGCGGGCCGTTCTCCTCCTCCATCCATCACCTGAGACTAAAGAGATTAATAAACGAGACTCATAACTCAGCTGCTGGGATGCAGCAGATATTTACGGCTCCGTTTCAATTTGCAGAGAGATTAAGTGTTTGTCGATTTATTGTCTCTTGGTGTGTGCAAGCGGCTGAGCAAGGCCCCCTGCCAGCCAGTCCCCTCCCCCCACTCCACATGCCCCACACGTGTGGGCTCCTCGATTCCCACCCCCAGCCCCCAGCCCTGGAGCTGGTAGGGAGCCTGGTGCTGCCCTGCCAGGCAAGCTACAGGTCACTCGGTGGGCCTGTCTTCCTGACTGACCTGGCCAGGTCCCTAAGCTGATTAGAGGGCCCACTCACCCTCCTCCAGCCTTGTCTCTCCCCACCTAGTAAATGTGCCCTGGATCCCAAGCTCCACCCTTCTAGAACACTCTCTCAGTACCCAAGACCCCTCCCTGCCCAAATGGGCCTGAACCTGCTTTTTTTTAGATGGAGTCTTGCTCTGTCACCCAGGCTGGAGTGCAGTGCTGAGGTCTCGGCTCACTGCCCCCTCTGCCTCCCAGGTTCCAGCTATTCTCCTGCCTCAGCCTCCCAAGTAGCTGGGATTACAGGTGTCCACCACCATACCGGGCCAATTTTTGTATTTTTAGTACAGGTTGGGTTTCACTATGTTGGCCAGGCTGGTCTCAAACACCTGACCTCAGGTAATCCTCTGACCTCAGCCTCCCACAGTACTGGGATTATAGGCGTGAGCCACCGGGCCGGGCCTGAACCTGCTTTTGAGCGCTATGCAAGTCCACACTTCTAAGGGTTGAATACTTTTGTGGGGGTGCACCCCGAGGCCCAAGGAGTGATGGCTGTTTGCAGAGGGCACATGCTAGGAGCCTCCATTTCTGCTCTTGTACTAGGCACTACAGACCTTAGGGGTGGGTTTGGAGAGGGGAGGCTTCCATAGAGAAAGTCCCCCAGCCTAACTGGGGACAAGCCTGCAGAAGCCAAAGGTAGTGACAGCCTGGGGAGGCAGTCACCAAGGGAAATGAGACAGCAGGGAAAGAGCATCACCCCAGGGGCTGAGGGGAAAGCCCTCAAACCCCAAGGATGAGCAGTGCTTCAGGAGCCAAGAAGGGGGCACATGAGCACGGGGAGCAAAAGTGTCTGGTGGCCCCCCACCTTCTCAGACCCCCAGCTGTCTCTCCCATCCCTGCTGACTATGTAGTCTGGCATATGCACCTACTCATTCATTCATGCATTCATTCATTCATTCGACCAGGTTTTTTGAGCATCTACTCTGCCAATTCTGGTTATCCACCACACAGATTCCTCCACTCATTTGTGCAGCCCCAGCAGGTATGAGTCCCATTTCCACCACCCAAGAGCTGTGTGGCCTTGAATAAATCACTCTGCCTCTCTGATCCTGTCTCTTCTTTGTTAAGTGGAGTAAATACTCTCCCTGCCTCTTGAGGCTTTTGAGAGGACTGACAGGAGAGTGGGTGAATGCATTGGAAACTGCAAAGGGCCGTCCACTTTGGCACTTTGCAGGAGGCTGATTAATAGTCATTGTGTTCCTGGGATCCCTTGAGACTAAGGAGGGTGACGGGAGGCAGCACAACTCACCCAGGCCTCTCCTCACCCCCTCTCCAGAAGTTCACCCACAAGATGTGTGACAGTCACATAAAGATAATTCCTTACCAAGGTCCCTGTCCTCAAGAAGTCCCAATTCAGCAGGGAGACACATCAGGAATGGGTGGAGGAGGGTATGGTCAATGCTGGGACTCAGGCTACTCAAGGGATTGTGGGGACACAGGGAGGGTGGGGTGTACCTAATCCTTACCCCCATCCACCCCCACCCCAGGCAGAGCACACGCTCTACAGAATGCCAGGGTAAGTCAGCAGATGTCACTGAGAAGTGAGAGAGAAAAGCCAGACAAGCATCACGGTGGGTTAGGACGAAACCATAGCAGATCGTTGCTTTGTTGGTGGAAGAGAAGTGAAATTCCTCTTGTTCCTGCAAGAGGAATCTGTTTGTCTATGGAGTAGAAATTATGAGTTAGTGTGTGTGTGCCTGTCTCTCTACAGGTCTGGCCTGGGGTCTCCCCAAAAGGCACTGTGAGGCCCCAGGGTTAGTCCCTTCCCTGTGTGGACCTCAGTTTCCTTATCTGTATAATGGAGTGAATGCCTCCCTCCAGTGAGGGATGAGAAAGCCTTAGTGGTGTGGAGGAAAGAATGGATGGGATGGGTGGAGTAGTGGACTGACCAAATCAGGGCCTGACCCTAAGTACCCAGAAGATCGGGCTCAGAGGGATGAGGATGAGGTCACTTCGGGCAGAGGCCACCCAGGGAGAGAGGAAATTAACAGCAGAAAGAGTGTTGGGCAGGAGGAGCATCAGGAGACCTGGAGTCAGTTCTGACTTGGGGAGTCAGCCTGGCTGACCCTTCCCCTCCTGGGCCTCGGTTTCCCCTTCCGTGGAGTGAGGAGCCTGGTCTTGACAATTTCCTCCTCCATCCCAGCAAACAAGGCAGTTGGAAGCAGGATAGCCTCCTGGCACTGCTCCTTAGTGAGACCGCCTGTGCTGCCGGGTCTTGCTGTCCATCCTTAATTAATGGTGGGCGGTTGAGGCAGGAGTGGAGCGCTCCCGGTAACTAAAGCAGAGATGATGAGGCCATAAATGGCTGAGGGCTTGAATCATTGATTGGTGAGGGTGAGGTGAACTGTAGAACCAGGAACGAAAGAAACCTGGGAGGTGGGGCTGGTCCCTTCTGCACACTGCAAGCCCACCCTGACCTCAGCACTCATTTTAATAACACTAAGTGCTACCGTCAAGATTCACTGAGCTCTTACTCTGCACCCAGAACTTTAGTCATAATCTCGTAATCCTCGCTCCAGCCTAGAAAGGAGCATACAATTATCATCCCCACTTTATGGGATAGGAGACTAGGGATGGCCCAGTAACCCTCCCAGGGCCACCAGACAAGACTGAGGGGGAGTCTTGGTCAAACACATCTGGGGTCTCCAGCCCAGCTCCTGAGCCTTGGCCAAGCCTGATGACTCAGAAGTCAGGAGGCTGGTGAGCTTGACTCGCCATCTTCCCAGTCCATCCGGGAGGAAGAGCTGCCTCAGTTTCCTAGTAAACACCAAGACAAGCTCTGTGACTTCAGGGCCCTGCCCCCATCCCACCCCCGAGGCCCACCTGGAGCATTTGAGAGTACAAGCAAGGCCCACATACCATACGTCCAAACCCCAGGTAATTGAAAGTTTTAAATCAAGCAGAAGCTAGTAAACTCCTAAATATGTTCCATTCCTCTACCTCAATAAATACACCTTATCAACAACCTCAAAGAATTCTCAGATTCCACAATGGCCCCTGGCAGTGTGGGGAGAACGACTCCCAGGCCCCCACCCCCAACCCACCTGTCCCCTTTTCTTCTCGCCCAGCTCAGTTTCAGTCCCACCTATGAGACTTCGTGTGCATAAGGACATACTGCCACCTTCAGGAGGACAGGCCCTGGAAGCAGGGGAGTGCCAGGATCCCAGTTACCTAGGGTGAGGTCTAAAGCTGGCACATGCTCTGGGTGGGTACATCCCCTTGGCACCACCACCTCCTCACCCCATGTGAAGGATTGTGCCCCGAGGAGGGACAGAGCAGGACCCTCCCACACATGCGGCCCAGGGCTCTTTTCCAGGGCTAAAGGCCGAACTGTCCCTCCCCCCTAGCTTGGCAACTCTATCAGGGTCCACTCCTGAGTTCAGATTAAATGTTTTTCAGTACAATCCAATTTCCTCCTGACACAGGGACTAGAAAAACCCAATCCACGTGCGCAGACAGAGACACCCACCCACACACACACACACACACACACACACATTTGGTGCTAAATATACAATCAAGTCCACAGATAATAGAGACCAGCCAGTTCACTCCCAGTTTAATCAGATAAAACGCTCATTCATCGGCTCCTGCCAGCGGCTGCCGTCCCCTCCTTAGGGTGGAGTAGAGGCAGCTGGGAGGGCCTGTGGGGGAAGGGGCTGAGACTCGAGTGGCTTGAGCATGTGGGCTGCGCCTTTAAATCTTCAAAGAGGGGGGACAGCGTTGCCCACAGGGGACTAATTATCCTTCAGCCTTTAGCCAGCTCTTACTCAAACAGACAAAAGGGGGCTGAGCAGCTCTGGTGGCGCTGAGCCTGCAGCAGAATTTTTTTTCACTCTCAGATATGCAAATCCACCTCCACCGGGCAGATCCTGGGGGTGTGCTGCATAGGGTCTCAGGGATTTGGAAGGGCCAGGAAGGGCAATGGCAGCTGGACCCTCTCAGAGGACTAGTTTGGGAGGCTGGGAGGCACCTCGCTCTTCCTCCACAAGCTGCTAGAGAGGGTCCAGTGGAGGCCAAGATGAAGGCCCCACCCTCCTGCCTTCTCCTGTATGTGGGTGGGGGGCTCCTGTGGAGGGCCAGAGGGCTTGCTCAGGGAGCTGGCTCAGCATCTGGGAGCTGACTGACAGATTGGGTTCTCCTGCCGACCTCAGCCTCCCTCCTCCTAGGACATAGCCCAGGTGACTGTCCCAAGCCCAAAGCTAGACATGCTGCCACCCGCCTTGAACCTTGCCTGAAGCAGGACCTCCTCAGCCTGATGGGCCCTTGGAGCCTCTGAAGCCTGTGCCTCCAGCCTTTACCTGAACGCAGAATATTCTATCCATGCTCAATGGCAGTGGTACCTACTCCTAGCTCCCAGCCCGTGCTCCTGGCTCACTCCACCTTGTACCCATCCCCCAACTCCACCCCAGTGCCTGGCGCACCCTGGGTGCTCAGTGTGTGCCCACTGAATGCACAGAATGCCCCTTCCTGAGCAGCTTGGTGGACGAGGGGTGGTCTGGATTGCAGAGGTGTTTGCCTTGTGCTCAGCTCCCAGCCAGCACCTACAGAAACTTCAGTCTCTTTAGCTGGGAAATGGGGACAGTGCTAGCCCTTACCCCCAGGCTGGCTGTGAAAACCCCGCAGTGCCTGCCCCGGTTCTGGGAGCCATGAAAAGTTTCTGGCACCTTGTTGCTCACAGCAGGGGGTGAAGAGCATGGCGTAGGA